TATCCTCTGAGAACACACCTGCACCAGTACCTGAGTTGGTTTTGGAGCCTTGAAGGTCCAATGGGCACATTGAATATAAAAATTTTAAGGAGGTCTAATGGGCACCAAAAAAGAGGTCCAATGGGCACATTGAATATAAAATGTTTTAAGAAGGTCCAATGGACACCAAAAAAGAGGTCCAATGGGCACTTTTTGCTTTTGGGTCGAATCTTGAGGGTCCAATGGGTACTAGACCCCTCAATGGTGACTCACACCATCACCTGAAACAATTAACTGCCGTAGGAAACTCTTTGTTTCAGAGAGCACGGGGTGTCTGTGACGAACAACACCTGGCAGCTGAACTTCAGCATGTCGAGCAAGTACTGAAGGATAATAACCTGAATGTACCACGTCGCCGTCACAGTCGCGCCAAACCTAGCACAGTCGACCGACAACCTGCTATACTATACTACCTTACATGAAAGGAGTCACTGACAAGATTGGGAGGATTCTGAAGCGTGCTTCAATCAATACATACTTCAAGCCGCCAAAGAAGATCAACCAGTTTCTACGACCGGTCAAGTGCAATATACCCTTTCAAGTTGCTGGTGTCTACAAACTTGAATGCGACTGTGGGCTCTCCTACATCGGGCAAACAAAGAGGAGTATAGGGACTCGGGTAAAAGAACATATCGCAGATATGAAACATAGGCGGGAAAATAAATCTGCAGTGTGTGAACATGCATTAGGGGGACCAAACCACTACATTAGGTTTGATAGACCACAGATCCTTGCAGCTGAGCGGCGTTTCGTTCCTCGAATGATGCGCGAGGCTATTGAGATTAAAAAATATCCAAATTTCAATAGGGAAGATGGTTGGTATATACCACCAGCTTGGGAACCTATTATACAGGAGATAAAATCCCAACCCCGAGCACACACTGCAAGACCATCAGATACTATTAGTTCTTTTTGTTTGCATAATTTAACATAAGAAGGAGATGAAAGCCTCTCTTGAGTTTGTTTCGCCGGTTCTTCTCAGAAAGGTCTCCCAATTTTGGAACCGGTGGTAGTTTACGGTAGTTAGGGTCAAATAAATAAACTCAAAATTACAAAAAATAATTTTAAATAAAATACTTTATTAAGTAAATGAAATAATAAATTCATACATAGACAATAAAACTTAAAAATCGAACAATGAAATAACCAAACGCTCAATAAAAGTCTTTCGAAGGTAGCTCGACAAATTAAATAAAAGTTTTATTCTGACGACGAAGCCTGTAAAGGCTACGAAACGTCAATAAATAAATAAAGTTTCGTGCATTAACCCGTAAAAACTAGTTTTATTTAATGAGATTATGCGTGAAAACCTAAGAAACAAATATGTTAAACATAAAAGTTAGGAAATTTAGTAATAAACAAAAAAGCACAGTACATTTTTTTCCGTAAAGTCTATAATTTCGAAGATATAGCTATAAAAATGTTTCCCAATATGGCGGCCAGTTGTGGGTGGTGGTAATTAAATTTTTGATAGTAATTCTATTTAATTCAATATCTAAATACGAGGTAAACCTGTGTTTTTTTGGGAAAACTCAGGGAGGTTAGATGTTTTTTTAATAATTAATGAGATGGAAAATCAAGATTCTAATACATTATGTGGCAACAAAAACATATTTCTGATGTCGTAGTAATTAATTTGATCTAATTTATTGAACATTATTGAGAGATTAAGGCGTTTGAAGTTGTGTATATTACGGTTTTTTCCGTAAACTAGCTGCGGTAGAACGATCAGTACAAAAAAAGGAAAATAGTATTTGCAAATATTCTACATTAATTTTCAATAAGAAGAATAAATGTACTCTTTACTTCTATCGGAAATAGTCAAAATCTCTTCTAAGGGGGTAAACGAGGCGCTCAAAAATTGCGATTTATTTCAAAAAATGTCAAAGGGCTCTTAAGCTTATTCTCATCTTAGATTAAAACAAAAAGGGTAGATACGGTACGCTCTTACTTGCATCAAACAAAAACTGATCCCACTTTACTACATATGCAACACTCAACATCCACCTGTTTGTAAAGATACAATCGAACGAACGAAACAGCAATATAAGTTTCAACGGCACCGCGAACGGGACGGCGAGATCCGCGTCACTGCAATACCGACCAATCACGCGACCAGTACTCGACGTCACTACAGAGTAGCGTCAGAGAAAAAAATAAAAGTATTTTTTATTAAATAAAAGTTTTTTATTAAAATTCAATAAAAAAAATCCACATTGAGCAATTTTCAATCTACTTTGAAAAGCTGAGGGAATGAAACTGTTTACAAGTATACCTACTAAAAGTAGGTTTTTTACATGATAACGTCAACATTTTTTTAAGGTATCTTATACTGCTGGATGTGGTCATTTTTATTGTATTCAATGTTTAAAAGAATCTAATCGAGATACAATTTTTACTAGAAACTTTACACTTATTATATTTCAATACCAATCATAAACTGATTGTTCAATAAATAAAAAAAAAAACTAAAATAATATTAAAAAATTTAAAATCAGACACACATTATTATATCACCTGATAAAAAATCAGTTAACAAGCGTACCTACTAAAAGTAGGTTTTTTATACGATACCGTCAACAATTTTTTAAGATTAAAAGTATTTAAAAGAATCTAATCCGAAACTCTTATTATATTTCTCTTCTAAGCATGAATTGCTTGTTTTATAAATCTAATCTAAACTACACTTTAAATTATTCATTTAAATAATAAAAAAAATATAAAGGTAAAATTAAATAACAAAAACAATAATCATCATCGATAAATAAAAATAAACATAAGTTATTCCTTGGGCTTTATAACAGAAGTAAGAATCTTACTAGGTACCTACCTACTGTGTGGCAATAGGGTTGATGACAACACCTTTTTTTCTTCGTCGGCCAGGTAGATTAATAAAAGTATTGGACAAGTATTTATTTCTTATTCACATAATCAAAACTCATATCAACATATCTCTGTAATAGAGATATGTTGATATGAAATTTCCCATGACGTCACGTCTTGGTACAATTTTTACTTAGAAGTGACTTTACAAGCCTTCTCTCCCAAACTTTCACGCTCTCTATCCTTTTGGTATTAGTTTCCAAAACATAGAACCATTCTAAATCGAAAGAAGCTCCGGAATATCCGGGAGTGGACCGGTATTGCCTTCGTCGAACAGTTGTTCCGGCTGGCTGCTGATAGAACTACATACAGGAAGTAATGAGTTTAATAAATGCAGCATATTTTTTACCTACATAAATTAATATTCCAAAAAAAAATTACGAAATATTTTTTTTGTTAACTCTACCCAATTTTTACTCTCGACTGACATTACAATGGCAAATATTCGCGCTTATGCTTTTTCTTCCTCATACAAACGTTTACAAGTGTTGTTGTCTTTTTCTTAATAACAAATACCGAATAAGATTCAAAACAAACAGATTTTTTTATGAAAAAATATATTTTATAGTACTTACGAATGAAAAGTGATGCCGTCGGTATTATTTTTATTTCTTGAGCAATTTGAGCACTTTTTAAAACAACACTTAGGCATTGTTTTATCATATAATCACAAAATTTTAGCAATATATCTTTTTGACGTTCACATGTACGTCATTTGCATGTCAAGTTGTGACTAAAGCGATTGTGGCCTTGGGCCACAATTGATGCGGATCACTTTTGTGAGGCTAGTGCCGTATCTACCCTTTTTGTTTTAATCTAAGATTCTCATAGACATTCATGCGCCCAGTGAACATACTCGAAGCTGCGACACGGTATCTTGAATGGCGTCTATTTTGTCGATCAGTGAAGTGCAGTGATAAGACTGTTATTGTTCAGTGACGGCTTAGATAACACTCTCCGGCAGTTATTGTGTAGTAACTATTAATGAAACATAAACAGTATTGATATAATTGCTTAAACTTTCATGGTCACTAACATAATAGATATTAACGGGATTGTTACCATGTACCTTGTTTTTTATGAGTCTCCAATATTTCGGCACTGTTGCAAGCGCCATGATCACGGAGTAACTGAAGTAATTGCGGGTAGATGTTATTGGCAGACATATCGGTTTACCCTCTGACGTCGTCTTTTACTGCGTTCGATACTACCACTACCACTGGTCACGTTCTCACTATTCACTCGCATTTGTTCCCGGCACACAATAGAGGTGTCACTTTCTTCTTTGCGACTTTTGATTTTATTCTTTTAAAAACTTTATGTATTCCTTACTAAAAATTTCTTTTTTACAAATAAAAAACTTATTATTGTATAGTAATGAAACACTCTTTTACTAACATATATGGGGCAAAACGGAATACTATGTCATTATGCCCCGACCTTTTTGCCCCAACAGACTCATTTTGCAAAAGTAATAACAGTTCTAACCTGCATAATTATTAGGCAAAAAAGCAAACTAAATTCGTTAGTTTAACACTACTGCAACAAGTATGCGGTAAGATAATGCAATAGTACTGATACCTACCTTGGTGCACATCGATTCAAAACAGAAAACGTCGTAAAAATCCTCCCAAAAACTATATTTTCTCGCCACGCAGCCAAAACACGCAGTGACACATACGCACCCGCCAGCCTCATGCGACGCGGCTGAACATCGAGCGAATGGCGCTGTGTTAAGCTCTGTGCATTCACCAGTCACACACAAAAGCACACTTTCCGTCTTGCCCCGAGCTTTGTCTTGCCCCGGTCTCCCCTATGTTCTAATAAATTATATTCAGTAGCGATTTTAATTGAATATTTTGATTATTTATTTATTTTTTCAAATTAAAACTGAACTTTATTGACTGTGTCCTTTTCCGGACTTTTTATTAATTTATTGTAATTAATAAATAAAAAAATGCATGCAATTAAAAACTAATTTTAAACGATGCCAAAGAAGGATAACTTCTCACGCGCCTACATAAGTACACGCACCCATTTTTTTAATGTAACCGCTCTTTAAACCTACCCACCACGAAAAAAAATCCCATTTGGTTGATCGGAATCATGTACTTTCTGCATTTTTATTAAAACTTTATTTACTGTTGATTATAATGCAAAACCTTAAGTTGTTGATATCAGTATATTTTTTGCAGGTTGTTGAAACAATGTTACGAATAACCAAAACGGTGTTGTGCAAAAATCAACCAACACCTGCAGCAGTTTTGATATGTAAGTACTTATTTTATTTAATTAAATAATCGTGGTCACATTTTCCATGTTATTTGAGTAACTACATCAAGTGGAGCCCTTGAGCTGTTCCCAGATGGAGCACACACACTTGGAGATTACACACAATCACATGTAAAACAAAACTATTTCTGTATAAATGATTGGTCTCGCTGCACTCGACAAAGCGATACCAATCATTTATCTATGCTATGGCTCATAATGGTCATGGTAAGACGATGGTCATGATAAAACCAATTATACTTTGTTCTTCATCCTCGAGATTAGAGAACAATGTGTAGTTTCGCGTAGCGACCTGCTAATCGGACACTAAAGTTTAAAATATATTTAAAATTAAAAAATAATAAAATAAGATTTTTCACAAAAAATGTGCAGATATTTCATTCTTATAATAGTGGCAACACCAAGTTCATGACCTAGCGAGCATTACTTCAAACCTCATTCGCGTTTTAGTGCTCGGCTAGTCGACACAACTTTCTCTCCTGTCCGTCAGTGCTACCCTCCCTTTTTTATTTTATTGAAAAAAATATTAATAATGCCTAAGAGAGGTCATAATGATGATGATAGTGACGGTTATATTAAACGGAAGTTGAGAAAAATCGAAAAGAAGTTGCGTAAACGCAAAAAACGTTCACATCGTGTTATAAGTTCCAGTAGCAGCGAATCCAGAAACGAATTCTTGGCGTCGCCAGTGCCATCGCTATCCGAAGGTACCTACATATAATTATTTTTTTATTATTACTTATTTTTCTGTTACTTCAGGATATCTAATGCAAACCAGTTACTTGAGTTTAAAAATAATTTGCTTTCCATATAACTTTTGAGTACCTATGTACTGGTTGTTTTTGTAATCCTTACAAATTGTCAATTATTCTTTGCATAAAACGAAATAAATTTAAATTTGCACAGTAGATTAACTTTTAATGTAAAGTAGAATTGTACAAATACTGGCACCCAATTCTGTCAAGACAGATCCGTGCTGGTGAGTAAATTTGTACAGTTTTTTCTTAATGATCTTTTAATGATTTTTGTTTTGTTCAATATAATAATGGAATTACTTTATTACCTCCCGTTACGACATAAAACAAATACTTAGCTATTTGCTTTGTAAATAAATTTGTTATCGTAACTACCACCTTAGTAAAAGTGCAAAGTAATAAAATGGTTACATTTTACGCACTTTTTTTCTTTTTGGTAGGTGGCCACGAAAGTCTGTTAGCGGATTCAATGGAATTAAGCGAACAGCTGGAACTACCCACACAAGTGGGCTTGGCGCCTACCCTAGGCCCATCTTCATCAGTGCAGGCAGGTTCGGACGAATGCACATTAGATGAAGAGATTCTTGATTTATTGGGTGCAACTCCTTCAAAAGCTAAGCAGTTGGGCGAAAAAATTCAGAAGGATATTGCCCTTAGATGGGAGCATATTGTAACTTCTGGTATTTCCAAGGAAACTCGTAAAGATCTTCTTGGTAAACATTTAGTCCCGCAAAACTGTATGAAGCTGTCGGCTCCTATTTTAAATCCGGAAATAAAAGCCGCCTTATCAGATACAATGATAGGCAAAGACAAGGCTTCGGAGAGTAAACAGAACCAAATTGCAGCCGCTGTTTCGTGCATTGGTGAAAGTCTCACTAGGATGCTCAGCTCAGAACAAAAAGACCCCTTGATCATAAAACCTCTACTTGAGGGTGCTCAGCTACTATGTGATAGTCAGTTTAATGAATCTATGAAAAGAAGGAGCCTTATTTGCGCAACAATAAAAAAAGACATTAAGAGCCAACTTTATGAGACCGAAATAGACACTCACTTATTTGGAGAAAAATTAGCCGACATACTGAAAGCAGCAAAGGCTATCAACAAATCTGGGTCAGAGATAAAAGCACCTAAGCCTAAGACTATATCTTCACGAGTACAGCCTCGTAATTTAAACTCGAAGCCTCAACTGGCCAACAGCAGGCAGCCAGTGAGGAGGAGACAGGATCCTGCTGCATATCCATTGACGGCTACCGCACGGCCACCACTTGCTCATCAGCAACAGCAGTACTATCTAGCACCACCCCCACCACCGCCACCTCCGTTGCCACCGAGGCCGCCGCTGCCGCCACCACAACAGCAGCGATCCAAGCAACGCCCGTACCAGCGCCGTTAGACTCGGTTCGTTGTTCTGGTAGACTTTCTTTATTTTATTCTCAATGGCGTCAGTTAACAAGTGATCCAACTATATTGTCATGGGTGCAGGGTTATAATATACCTTTTTATAAGCCCGTGGTACAAAAATATATTCCAAGTCCATCTAGGCTATCAGGCCTCGAAATCGGTTATTACAAAGAAGCCATAGATGATCTTTTAAGATCGGGCGCTGTTTCTGAATGTCAACCATGCAATGGCCAATTTTTATCTAGCTATTTTTTGATTAAAAAGAAAAACGGTAAGCCACGGTTTATACTAAATTTAAAGGCACTTAATAAATTCATAAAAACGGAACATTTCAAATTGGAGGACCTTAGAACAACTATAAAGTTAGTCTGTAAAGGTTATTTTATGGCTTCTTTGGACTTACATAACGCATATTTTTTAATATCTGTAAATGAAATCTACCGGAAGTATTTGCGTTTCACTTGGTTTGGAAAAACTTTTGAATTTAACGTATTGCCCTTTGGTTTATGCACAGCTCCTTATGTATTTACAAAGATATTAAAACCAGTCATGTCACTATTAAGATCTTTAGGTTTCTTATCAACAATATACTTAGATGACATCTGCTGTATAGCTCCAACATATCAGGAATGTTGGAAAAATCTAGTGCAGACTAAGACCTTATTAGAATCTCTTGGCTTTATTATCAACTGGGAAAAGAGTTGTTATACTCCAGCTAATAAATGTACGTATCTTGGTTTTATAATTGATTCAAAAAGATTTCACATATCTTTAACAAACGAAAAGAGAAATAAAATTTTGATGGAACTAATTAAATTAAGCCGGATTCAGCGGTGCTCCATACGACATTTTGCTCGGGTGGTCGGTCTTCTCACCTCCGCTTGCCCCGCTGTACAATATGGTTGGTTGTACACCAAACAGTTGGAAAGATGTAAATATCTTGCCCTTTTGCAATCTGAAGATGACTACGATTGTCTTATGAAAATACCGTCCTTCTTACAAGAAGATATTCGGTGGTGGATTAAGTCAATACAAATAGCTATCAATCCTATCAGGGAAGATAATTACACCTTAGAGATATATTCAGATGCTAGCAAAACTGGGTGGGGGATATTATGCGGTGGGAAGACTGCAAATGGTCATTGGAGCGCCGAAGAAGGTACAAAACACATTAATTATCTGGAGTTATTAGCAGCTTATTTTGGTTTACGTATTTTTGCATCTCATAAAAGTAACTGCCAAATACTATTGAGGATTGATAATACGACTGCTATATCGTATATTAACCGTATGGGTGGAGTAAGGTTTCCACACCTTAATAAATTAACCAAGGAAATTTGGTTATTTTGTGAAAGTAGAAACATATTTATATATGCCTCTTATATTCGCTCCAAAGATAACGATATAGCAGACGCAGAATCAAGACGGTTACATCCTGATACAGAATGGGAGCTTAGTGAACAGGCATTTCAACTCATAGTTGATAATTTTGGTAGGCCTGATATTGATCTTTTCGCAACAAGATTAAATACGAAATGTACAAAATACGTATCCTGGCAACGTGATCCGGGGTCTTTTGCTATAAATGCGTTTACTATTAATTGGAACAATTTAAACTTTTATGCTTTCCCTCCGGTTTCAATTGTTGCAAAAGTTTTACGTAAAATTATTACAGATAGGGCACAAGGAATACTTGTGGTCCCTTGCTGGCCTGCTCAAGCTTGGTTCCCCCTATTTCATAAACTTCTAGTAGGTGAGACCATTTACTTAGAAACTGCTTCTAAACCTTTAATTTCTAACTCCAACAGCAATTCGACGTTGCTGCAACCCAAACTTATGGCCGGAAGATTATCAGGGAAGCATTTTCCAGGAGAGGTGTACCAGCGAACTCCTTAGAAATTATTTGCTCCTCACTATCTGTTAGTTCATTAATGCAATATACTGTAGCTTTTAAACGTTGGTTTAGTTTCTGTGAATCTTATAATATAAATGCATATGAAGCGTCAATTCCAAATATTATATATTTTCTTACTAATATATATAAGACAGGCGCGCAGTATGGAACTTTAAATAGTTATCGTGCCGCATTATCACTTGTGATAGGATCTAGAGTGAAATCTGACGATCGTATTAATAGATTATTTAAAGGGTTTTATAGACTCAGAACTCCTTTACCCAAATACAAGGTTACATGGGATACCTCCATTGTACTTGATTACTTATCCAATCTATATCCCAACCATGAGCTACCTATTGAACAATTAGCAAAGAAAACGGTGACTCTTTTAGCACTTATTACGGCACATAGAGTTCAGACATTAACGTTGATAAAAATTCATAATATACAACGTTGCTCTAAAATGATTCGCATTCAAATACCTGATAAGATTAAGACCTCTAGATTAGGAGCTCACCAACCATGTCTCAGCATTCCACTCTACGAATTAAAACCTGAAATTTGCCCTGCCAGATCATTAATAGATTATATTGAGATGACCAGAAGTGTGAGGGGTGACATCGAACATTTATTTATTAGTGTCAGAAGACCCTTTAGATCGGTTACTAGTCAAACTTTAAGTAAATGGATAAAATACATTCTTCATGAAAGCGGCATTGACACTTCAATATTCTCTGCTCACTCCACTCGGCACGCAAGCACATCCGCAGCCAGCAGACTCGGAGTGAACATTGATTTAATCAGAAGTACTGCCGGGTGGAGTGGAAGCTCAAATGTATTTGGAAAATTCTATAATAAGCAAACTGAAAACCCAGATACAAATGATTTTGCCCTTTCAATTTTAAACAATAATTTGTCTCAATAATCATATAAAATTAGTAGTATGATTTAAATTAATAACTATGTAACCCCAGATGATTAAGCTTTAATAGCTATAATAGCGCCTAAAATGGGCTGACAATTAATAAATAAATATACTATTATTGTCCAAATTAAAGAAAAATAAATATTATGATTTAAACCTTGCAATTTTATTAAAATAATATTCCATTTGCTCTCAAGATCTACACATTGTTCTCTAATCTCGAGGATGAAGAACAAAGTATAATTGATGATTAAACGAACTTACCTTAGTGAAGTTCAATCATAATTATACGAGGTCTTCATCCGAAGAGATTAGAACCCATCCCACCCATAATACCCTTGTCTTGAAATATAATTTTAAATAAAAATGAAGAAACATAATAACACGGTGGCACTCATAGAGACAATTGAAATTGGCTTATGGTAGCCCTGTTATTATGTGTCCTAATTGTGTACTATGTATGGCTTTAAACTAAATGAGGTTTGAAGTAATGCTCGCTAGGTCATGAACTTGGTGTTGCCACTATTATAAGAATGAAATATCTGCACATTTTTTGTGAAAAATCTTATTTTATTATTTTTTAATTTTAAATATATTTTAAACTTTAGTGTCCGATTAGCAGGTCGCTACGCGAAACTACACATTGTTCTCTAATCTCTTCGGATGAAGACCTCGTATAATTATGATTGAACTTCACTAAGGTAAGTTCGTTTAATCATCAAGTAGTAATAAATATCTTGCAACAATAATAGACTGAGAGCCAGATTTCCGCAGATTTACGGTATAGTAGCAAACTCCATATTTATGCTAGTTATACTAATTCTTCTGCCGTAGATCAAATGGGGGTTCACTATTCCCATAGAAAGTTCCTTTAGGTGTTTAAAATCGAATTTCAAAACCTGATCGCAGCATGTCTGCCGTTTTGATATCTTAAATTTTTTTTTTATATAGAAAAACTTAAAGGCAGGCACTTGTTGCGGTTCCTACTATCTTTATATATATAATTCTTCTGTGAGTGTGTATGTCACTGAACTTCTCTTAAACGACTGGACCGATTTTGATGAAATTTTTTGTGTGTGTTCAAGGGGATCTGAGAATGGTTTAGATTCACAATTTTGTCCGCTGGACAGCCCCTATTTTTTTAGGGCGGTACGAAGTTCGCTGGGTCAGCTAGTATTTTATATAATATCATAGTTTCCCAAAGTTCATAAAATTTGTGTTATTTAAGAAAAGCTAATAATTATATATGTTATTTATATTATTATTATAAACACATATTTACACAAACGGTTCGGACATGCGGGCAGACCACACGATACTTCTTCAGTCGTGCTATTGAAGTTGTTTGATTTTCTCAATTATAATACATGTATATTTAAAAAACCAGACAGATAAGTCGGTTCTAAAATGCAGGCAGACTACATAATAGTTTCGCAGTCATGCTAATGGAGATACACGATATTGACCTTCTCACTCTTACTGGCAATGACAGCGAATCAGTATGAATACATGTGAACAGTGTTTTTAAATTTTATAATTTATAACTCTTATTTTCAATCATAAACATATGAGATTTTATAAAGAAATCAACAATTTTTTTCACTTACAATAATAATGATTTTGCTATTTATTTTGTTCTAACAAAACGTACACCTCGAAATTCAAATACAGAATAAATACATTCAATATTTGCTACAAAAAATCAAAATGATTCACTGTTCTTCGTCAGAACTGCAGACTTCCGTTAATTCAATACAGCACTCCAAATCTTCCAAGTTTTTGGGATTTTCATCGCCTTCGTCATCAGAGATACTACATTCTGTAAAAAAAAATTTATTAGCAACAAAATATTTTATTGTGTTTATTTAATTACCTGATGGAGATTAGACCGAATCGCCTAGAAAACCTGGCAGGCTGATCTCTGCTGATTTGAAGAAATATGTGTCTTAATGGTTAATCCACCTGAGGATGTAATGTTACTATCCCTACAAATAGCGAGCGGATACGAAGTGAAACACTGTAGAAGAAATACAATTCGTATACTGATAATAATTAACGAGATACAATGAAATAATTATTTGGAAAAGACGACGAGTGACGTGGCTACTCCACGTATGCGAGGCGATTCGTAGCACACGAGGCGATTCGTAGCACACTGCTCCGCCGGCCAAGCGACTGGGAGCAGGTTCCAGGCCGGTCCGCGTCTCCCGCATACCGCGCCCCACGGCATACGCGTTCGTGACGTAGCCGCTGTTAGTGATGAGGGCACGACGACGCGTAGTGATGTGCCACACACCCATATTCTTCTGGATGTAATGTTGACGGGCATCGTTTATCACCATTATTCCAAATATTTATTTATATTTATTCCTAGTACTCTTGTGTGCGAGTGTACCCATGCGCAAACACACTCCCTCCACTTTCTTTCAGCGTTTTTTTTACATGACGCGACCAGTAGCGTACCGTTACAACATTCCAGTTTTATGAGATATTTCCTTTCCTAATGAGGGTAGACAAATGAAGTAAGGACCAGGTAAAATTTCTATTCAATTGGAAAGAAACACATCTGTTCTATTTAAAGAAGCTTTAAAATAAATATAGTTTATTCACCTAAACTTGACCAACGTTTTTACATTAGCGTGACAGAGAAAACATTATATTGTCTACCCGCATGTTAGAATCGACCTATCCGTCTGATTCTTAAAATATATATGTACAATAATATCATAAATAACAAACATAAGTTTCTACTTTGCTTAGGCAAATTATTTTTTCCTAGAGAGGGTAAACTACTGACGTGAAGGTCAAGTAACATTCCTATTCCGAGCACATGTTGCTGGAGTGCACGGCCTGGCGGCAGCAGCGCCGCGACCTAATTGCGGCGCTGGGAGGTGGAACCCTCTCGCTGCGGAGCATGGTAGAGGCCATGCTGCGTAACGAGTCGGCATGGGAGGCGGCTGCCTCCTTCTGCGAGAACGTTATCTCGCAGAAGGAGGCAGCCGAGAGGGAGCGGGAGGATGATCCCCTGGCCGCTCCCTCCCGCCGAAGAAGAGCGGGCAGGAGAGGACGAGTGCGTGCCCTGGCTACGCCCGTCCCATGACCCTGCCCGCGGGGATCCCTAGCTGGCCGGTACGGCGCATTGTGCCGTGCCGGCCACCGAGGGATCCCGTGACGGCAGCCCCCATCTTGTAGTTCTGTCCTGCAAAGAGGGGGGCAGCGGAGGGAGCTAAACGGGCACTCCCAAGTAGTCCTTCGCAGCGGACGGGGGGCGGTACGGTGGGCACTAGGCCGCGTATTCTGCCCCCACGCGTGGGCCATCCTGCGCACGTCTACGGGGTCCCCGCAATACCTCGGGAGACCCCTGTCGTGGAGCCCCGGCTAGGCCGGGAGGCTGCTGGGTGTGGAGACGCGGAAGAATCCCTAAACGGGGATCCCGCGGTTTCGCACTAAGCAGCTTAGAGGGTATTCGCAGGGGTTTTTAGCGGATATTATGCCGTAAAGCGCCCGTAAGAGTTACGAGGTCCTCAGATGGCAGCCACTGTGGGGGCTCGTAAGGTTTGCGGGAGCCAGGTGTGAGGTCCGTTCGGCGGTGTGCCTCTTAAAGGCGCTTCCGTCTGTAAACAGAGTTTTTGTCTACGTCACAAAAAAAGGTAACATTCCTATTAAATTGCAGAGAAAAACATTTATTTTATTCAAATAGGTTCCGAAATGAAAAGCGTATATTCAACAACCCTTATCCATCGTATTTACAACGGTGCTTGAATACTGAACCCCTGCGAGATGAAGAGAGAGAAAGTCAATATCGTGTATCTCCATTAGCATGACTGCGAAACTATTATGTGGTCTGCCCGCATGTCATAACCGACCTATGGGTCTGTTTTTGTAAATATATGTTTATAATAAAAAATATAAATAACATAATATAATTTTTAACTTTGCTAAAATTTTATGAAATTTTGGAAACTATGATATATAAAATATAGTAGAAACCGCAACAAGTGTCTGCCATTATCTATATACAAAAATAAATGTTTTAAGATATCAAAACGGCAGACAAGCTGCGATCACGTTTTGAAAGTCGATTTTCATGCTTTTTGACTTCTAGGCACGCTTAAAGGAACCCTCTTTGGTAGTGAACCCCCATTTGATCTACAGCAGATGAATTAGTATAAGTAGCATTAATATGAAGTTTGCTACTATACCGTAAGTCTGCGATTCACTGGCTCTTAGACTATAAAGTTGGTGTGATTCGTGTTTGCGTCTTAGGGGGGAGGGGGGTTGCATATAAAACACGCTTCCTTGAAGTTGTCATGTATTTTAAGGTATCTTAAGAAGCAAAAATAAAAAGAGAAATACAACATTCTAAAGATCCTATAACTTTGTCACAAAACAATTAAAACTGTTTTCGCAAGTATAAAACACAGAACGGTAGAATGTTAAAGTTGTATAAAATATAAAATAAATAAATGCATACTTTTTATCAGATTGCCAACGATTTTCTACAGAAGCTCAATTGGAACCACCGCAACCATGTGTCAAAACATCTATCCCTGGCCCAAAAACCCTGGAATTGTTGAAGGATCTTAATTCATTACAGGTTAGTGTAATAGTGTAATAAAAAGATTATATATATACATATATTTTTTAATTTATCCAGTTTTTTTTCACGCACATTTTTATAAAAAATATATCAACCCCGAAAATCCCAAGATTCATTACATTTGATCCCGAAAATTTCGGGACTAAAATAAGACCGGGATCCCGGGATCGAATCCTCTAAGTACGATCAACTATGCCCGAACCGGAAGTATTCAAGTGCTTATACAAACAAAACGTAGCCGATATACTTACAGACATTAAACTTGACTCATTTGTGTCCTCTATCAGACTAAGCCATAAGTTGGTAAAAAAGAACGCCGAAAGCTGCAATTACATTATATAAGTTTCAGCAAACGTACGGACTGCATGAGACAGAGATAAACTACACACGAAATCAAATCCCGGTAATTAAATATTGCAAAAGACTTATAAAAGATATCGAAATTTTTGTAACGATCTCCTTAGAAAAGTAAATACTAACTGTGGTAGTATGGAATTTGAAAAAATAGGACGCCAAAGAAAAAAGTATGGAATTATATAAAAAATACTGCTTGTTTGTCTAAAATAGCAAGAGTCGTCTTCGGATCTGCTACAAGTTCATTCGTCACCACTGACAGCTGCAAATAATTTTATCGTCAACATTGGGAAAATTTTTGCAGAATAGTTTCAAAATCCTAAAAGTATATCACTGTTAACTAGTCAAACAGCTTGCAATAATAATAATTTAAATTAATTTCTTCTTTTACAAACTGAATAAGCCAAAGTAACAAGCTTAATATCAGCCCTAAAAGATGATTTTGCGGTTGGCTGAGATAATATATTCAACAAAGTAATAAAATAATTTAAGCACACGAACCCAATGCGTAAAGTTCTCAGCTCCGATTTAGACAATACCTGTAATGGAGTTTCACATGGAAGTATTCTACTAGGCGCTACTTTATTCTTAATTTACGTAAATGACCTATGTGCAATTTACAATTAGTAAATGGAAAATAATTTCTTACGCTGACGACACCGCTTTGCTTTTTTCTGCATGCTCCGAGGTTCAATTCTACGAATACACAAAAAAAGGATTCAATGTTGTAAATAACTGGCTGCACCAACATTTACTAACACTCAACTTGAACAAAACTTAAGTATATCAAGTTTCTATTCAGTCATATATATATGACTTTTAAAAATGAAATTTAGTCATTTTTAGATTAATCGGGACATTTAGCGTCCCGATCGATACAAATCGGGATGCATCCCCAGACCCCTGAAAATCGGGAAGTCCCGCGCAAATCGCGACACCTGGCAACACTAGTCGTGATCCTATCAGCAAGTATCTTGGGCCAATATTTAGTTTCCTAAATAGAGGGGCTATAATCCCATCATGCTTACTGCTTACTTTTTTACTGATGTTAAAGGATTGAGCTCCTCAATCCGTCAACATCAGCAATATGATGAAAGTTGCTCAGAGAAAAATGACGGGTAATGATCAGTATATCCCTGAGAGATCGTGTACGCAACTATGTAGGTGATACGGAAAAGAAAAAAACTACTCGACATTGCTCGCGAAATAGACGACAGGTGGAATCGAGCTATTATGGAGTGGCTATCTAGAACAGGGCGCAGAAACATAGGGAGGCAGTCCGCCAGATGGTCCAGATGGGGCAAGAACTGAACCCACATGGCACCGACCTATCAGGTTACTGTCCTCCGTTCGTCGATTCTCGAAAAACTGCTGCTTTGCAGAATCCTTATCCTGAAAGAAAACAATCTTGTACCTTATGCCTTACCTGTATTTCGGTAAGCTCAAATAGGGAAGATGCAATATTTTTATTTTTGTTTTAATTTTAAAGAATTCCATGTAGAATAAACAACAGATATGTTACAAAATTAAAACATTGCAATTTATCGGAAAAAATGCGGTTTTAAATTGGCAGTTTAAATTTTCACGCGAAAACGGACCTATGGTTCCGATGACGTCACTCCTGTCTGTCACTGGTCGTACTTGTTCATCGCTGGCATACTTTTGCATATTTTTTCGACTTTAGAGATATTATTTTGTAAAAATTTAAAATGGACTATCCATCAACATCAGGTGATTATAACAATACCACTAATATGCCGAAAAAAAAGCCATGTTGACTCATGTTTTGTGCCAATGTGTCCATCTGCTTCAACAGAGTTTCCAAAAAAATTGTTTTTTTACTTTTGGTTGACTTAATTTAATTGATCCAAAACTGAGAAAAAGTGGTTTTAAGCTGCGAAGAGAAATGACAATTATTCTCCAAAGCTCATTATTCGATGCTTTGAAGATCACTTTGACGTAAGTCGGCAAATATACTTGTTATATGCTTAATTAATCTGCTTGTACGTAAAAACGCGTTAGTAACCTACCTAATATTACAAAACCTGTCTATAACATATTTTTAATTTTACAGTTGGAGAATGACGTCGAAAATTGGATAAATTTTAAAATGTGTGGCACAATCTTCACATTGGCAGGACTGAACCAAGCTTTGCGTTTCATTTAAAATAACTGTAACACGATAACCTTCTTTACCTACTTTATGCTCCGGAGTAACTCGACTCTTTACTGTACATAATTCTCCATCTCTTTTAATTTGGACATAGCCGATTGCGTTATCGCCGTAAGATTCTCTTGTTGAGCTGAAATAACTGCCATGTGTAGAAGCCGCTGAATAATATACAAAGTTTAACAACTATGATTTATACATACCGTAGTAATTTAGTCCCTTTCATTTCTACACTTGAAAACTCTGCACTTTGGACAAAAAAAAGTTACATCCATGTCAACACTAACTCTTAGTAAATTCTTGGAGTCTGCTTTGATAAACCCAACTTCCATTTTTATTAAAAAACGCAATTAATATTCCCATAAAATAATATTCACTTTTACAACCATAACCTCAAATAAGTTGTCATAACAGGAGTGACGTCACTAACAGGAGTGACGTCACTAAACGCTGATTGGTGTTTTAAAATACGTTTTTTTTTCAATTCATTTTTAATTCGTAATTATTGTTAAAAAACAACATTATGCAAAATAAAAACGTTGCAGTGGCCTTTCTTTTATATTTTTTTAACATTTTAATCATAAAATTTTCATAAATATTATATTGTTTTCTTTCAAGACAAGACCACTTTACAAGGATACTACTGTACAAGTGCATAGTGAGCGCGAGAGAAGGAGGAAGAATAGAGTCGAATAATTATGAACAAAGAGTCATCATTATTCTTCATAATTTATGCCGGAGTTCCGCAGGGTTTAGTTTTGGGGCTGGTACTTTACGCTGTTCATGCAGCAGATTTTCCTGTAATGGAAAATATTTCAGCTACCACGCAACTCCACAAAAAGATTTGCATGTGATTAAAGAATGTTTCCAAAAATGGATTATACAGATACGCGGGTTTTAACATATAAAACCCCTCTTTATGCATTGACGTTTTGATATGTACTAACTCCTTACATGAGAACGGCGTTTTTCATACCATCATACATAGTAAAATAAGATATCAGGACTTTGACCTAACAATTAATTGTATCCATTCTTCAAATATTGGTTCACAGAATGTGTGTTTATATAGGTAGATACTTTATATAGAGAACTCAAGGAGAGCAATCTGTTCAATATGATAACGTTCGTTTATTGAATGATCTATTACATTCAATGGGGCTCCCAGCGCGTGGAGTGACGACGGACGGAGCTGTAGTTGATATGATAATAATTATGATAGAACTTATGTAAACGTATTAAGTTTATTTACATTTAACTAAAGTATGTAGGTGCCATTTTGTTCGGTAACTTTTTGCCATCTTTTAGGTAGGGACCATCCCATTGCTATAGAAATGGGGCTTCTGATCAAAAAATCGCGACACGTAATGTTAACCTAACACTACCTAAAGAATTCTAAAGATATCATAACAGGTGGAAACCTGAAGTGCACCTTCAAGACTATACGGCGGATGTACTAAAACATCATCCAATCAAACTCTTAATTTTTGCTGAGTGGCTAAAGATGTGCGAGGTCTATACTTCCAAATATCATTAAAATCTCGCATTTCATATTTGATGTACCAAATATATACACATCAAAAGTGTCTAGGGATCAAGCATTTTTATGCGGATTTCTTGAGATTGAGATGTGGCTTTGTAATAAATTTATGATTTTATAAATTTATATGGATCCTTTTTGGTGCATTTCATAATTTGAATCAGGAACTGTGAATCAAATTCGAGTAAAAGATGAAAATCAGCTGTCAATATTTTCCCTATAAAAACATACAACGCATTGAAGACATTATTAGTGCTACTGTTTCCCTACTACTGATTAAAACCAACGTTATTATGGAGCGGCGACGTCATTTAAGCAGGGAAGAAATGCTCAGAGCCGTGGGAATGATAGAAGCTGGTTCCCGGCAACGTACTGTGGCTTTAGCTCTGAATACAAGTCAGAGTGTTATCAGTCGACTTTGGACACGATACCGAAGCACTGGTACCTGAGCGCCATGGAGGACGGTATCGCTGCACCACACGGAGACAAGACCGATACATTCAAATCTTAACTCGAAGAGCTCCAACAATAACCGCCATGATGTTAGCCGTGAGGCTTCATCACTCTTCAGGGAACTTAATTAGCGACCAAACAGTCAGAAACCGCTTGCATGAAGTGAACCTTCATTCCCGAAGACCGCTACGGGTACCACCTATAGCAATGCACAATCGTAGGATTCGATATCAATGGGCTCTTGAACACAGAAATTGGGCAGAAGAACAATGGCGTTTCGTGTGCTTTTCTGATGAGTCTCGTTTTGGTATGAGACCGGATACAAGACGTATACGACACTGGAGAACCCCTGGACGCCAACAGCGATTAAAATCCTGCCAGGAAGTCCATCCTTATAGTGGTGGAACCATCATGGTATGGGCGGGTATTTGGATCGGCGGAAGAACTGAGTTGATTTGGATCAGAGGCAACCTCAACGCTCAAATTTATGCTGAGACGATTGTATCAGACGTCATCGTTCCTCTACAAGTGCAAATCGGTCCCTTATTTCAGTTAATGCATGATAATGCACGACCGCACACCGCAAGAGTTGTAAGACAGACTCTCGCCGCAGCTAACATCAATGTCCTGCCCTGGCCTGCTCAGTCGCCAGACTTGAACCCGATTGAGCATGCATGGGATATGCTACAGAGAAGAGCTCTGCCGAATATGGAGGGTATCCAGTCGCAAGAAGACCTTTTTTTGTTGTTGCAACGAACATGGGCGGCCATTCCACAGCGTGATTTGGATGAACTCATTTTGAGTATGCCAAACCGATGTTCTTGTGTTGTTAGTGTTCGCGGTAGAAATACGGATTATTAATTGTTTAAGTTACCCAATAAAATTTTAGAGAAAACTGTTATTTCAGTCTTTTTTTCGAACTTTTGTGTTAGTGGTTCAAATGTCAAAAATCCCTTTATTAGGAAAATGGCAAATTTCTTTATTAATGCAAAGGTGACTTGGTTTATCGTTACTGTGACAAACGAAAACACTTTATTTGATGAATCCTTAAAGAAAATTTTAATTAATATCAATCAGGAGAAAAGTTATTGCAAAAATATATGTTGATCCCTAGACACTTTTGATGTGTGTAGTAACAACTTGCTTTAATGTTATAACTGGACTGACTCCCATAAAAAGTTTTCACTAGTTGTGTCATAGAAAATTTGTTTATAAGCATAGCAAAAGTTTCCAAAATTGGGCGCTGCAAAGAATCGGTTTACGCATCATTCCATAGAGATGTGACTTGACAATAATTACTTTTTAAATTCTATTTAAGGACTTTGGTACAATTGGGATTTAGGGTTTAGGCTGCGATTAGTGGCTCAATGTGTGTTTGCTCAAAGAATAGTTTGAAAACTAACGTGTTCCTTTCATGTTTTTCGTGTTTTCAGCAAGCGGGTTCCGTGCAGCTATTTGCCGACTATGACAAAAGTATTGGCAATTATTTCGTAGATGCAGATGGTAATGAATTTTTAGATGCATTCACTCAAATATCATCTGTGCCCGTTGGATACAACCATCCAGAACTATTGAAAGCTTTTGCAGATCAACATAATTTAGTAAGTAAAAATCTACTCAACTCACATTATGCAAATCTGAAGTTAATGATTAGGTTTAAATTGGTTCAATTAGAAATCACGTTTTTTACGCGTCTAACTGTCAAACTGCATAGTAATTTGACAATTGAGCGTGATAAAAACGCGTTATGTATAATATTGCGGTAGGCATGCCAGTAGGCTGGTGTTCCAAAACTTTGCGGCATGGAGGGAAAGTACCTTAAATATTGTGATCACAGCACAGAACTGTTCCATGACTGTGATAGAAAATTTTACTGAATGAAGTCTTTATTAACACGCTTTTATTAGTTTCACCTGTATGTTTGCATGTAACTGACACGTTTGGACTTGATTTTTTTTTGAAAGCAATAATATTAATTGTATTGATTGATTGAATTTTTAATAACTTCGCGTCTGCATTTAGCGGGTTCAATTCCCGCTTCAGACAGGTGATTATTCAAAATTCCTTTTTTTGCCTACTCAATTGCTTGACTGCTCTAAACCTACCCCATACCACCCATACAAAAGAGATTATTTTGAAAAAAAAAAAAAGATTATTTTGGGTGTCTTTGTTTTTATACAATTTTTTGGAACATAGACTTTGTTAGCCCGATTTGAACGACTTGGATTAGTTCTTTCACTCGTATTAAACAGTGTATTTATTATTAATTTAAAGAACAGTTGTGCAAAATAGTTTGCCCGAACTGATTCTTCTATGTAAATTTTGATGGGAAATCAGATGTAATAGCTTGTTTTAACATTTCAGAAATCACTGGTTAATAGACCTGCACTTGGTGTTTTTCCTTCAAAGGACTGGCCCGAAAAATTACGTAATGTTTTGTTATCTGTCGCGCCTGCCGGCTTAAATGCAGTATCAACAATGATGTGTGGATCTTGCTCCAATGAGAACGCTTACAAAGCCGTGTTCATGTGGTACCAGACTAAACAGAGAGGTGGAAAGATTGACTTTACACCAGAAGAAATGGACTCTTGTATGGTCAATCAGCCACCAGGCGCTCCCAAATTATCGATCATGTCCTTCAAAGTAAGTACTAGGTACTAAAGGAAACTTATTTTGGTCATACAGTGTCTTTTGTGTCTTAATAGAATGCGCATGTATTTTCATTACTCCAATAATATTGCGTCCACCTGTAGGAATGATTGACGGACAGGTTTTTAATGCCGTTTACAGAGCTGCCTCCTTTTTTTAAATTGGTTAATAATTAATTTTCAGGGAAGTTTCCACGGTCGAACATTCGGAGCTCTGACAACAACCAGATCCAAGCCAATACATAAACTGGACTGCCCAGCATTCGATTGGCCAGCGGCTCCGTTTCCAAGATACAAATACCCTCTTTCCAATTTTGAACGTGAAAATCACCAGGAAGATGAAAAGTAGGGTATCATTTATTGAATGCATTGTTTTTACCTGATTAGCATTACTTTTATTTCTTTTTTTTACTGTTGTTCTGTTTTTTCCCTACTTTCAGGCTTACATGAGACTTGTTGTTTTTTTGTCCTGATTTGGAGTTTTGTTTTATAACGCGAAGCTGTTGAGCTGAGACTTACAACGGCGGCCTTTTTACACACTTGGTGCAGTACTTACCTGATACTTTTTTCTTGATGCGCACATGCATGCAGTGCACCTATGACCTTATTTATTGTACCTATTGCTTTTTTATGTATGTCATGGTATTGCCTGTATTAGACGACGAGTTGCCAGTCAGTTCAGTATATTGTAAATTTAATTGAATACAGTTAAATGTTGAAATCAGCCTAGACCGAAGTAGACCCCACATGTGCTTAAAATTGTATATGGAAACCGTCATATTTTATTTATTTATTAATACTTAATGCGCAAGCGTACAAAGGCGGACTTAGTGCCGTTAGTAATATTTTGAGTCACGAGAACAAATTGAGGCGCAGAAGCATGGGCCCTGTTTTTTCATCATCATCTATTTCAATTATATCGATTTTAGTAGCTTGATGTGAAATAGATATTTTTTGTACATTGCGATTGACATCCGGTGAACGGTGACGCGAGGAAAATAATTTTGTGTAAAAGGAAGGCCATCGGTGTCCCTTATTGGCATGTTTCTGGCACGCAAACGAAGTATATACACTTGCGTTAGCTATTTCGATCTATGTCTGTGATCATTACCCCTCCTGCGGTTGAACTGACAGCTAGAACTTTGTCCGCGTAACTTGTTTATCTTAATAATAAGTAGCTACTTTCATCGAGCTAAGTAGAGCATAGATGTTTGGTTTTAGATAATATGTACAAAATGCTTGTCGAGTCTCTCTATACTTTGACAATATTTAAGTTTACACAACGGACACTCGTGTATTCTTCTTTGCTGTTATACACCCCGGCAAACTTCTTGCGCATCGACCATAGACAAGGAAGCCTGCGCAGTAGCAATTTTACATACAAAAATGTCTTCAGCTCAAATTTGTCTGTGGGTTTGCTCAAGAAGTTGGCTGCTACCTATACCTCTACCAGTTTTTCTATGACTCCAGTTCCTCTTGGAGCATTGTTTGTAACTAAACAATACATCTCTGCGTTACGAAGAGTGTAAATAAATCATAAAGTAGATAATTTTAATATTGGCGTAATGATAAATCAAATATTGGCAATTAAAAGAAACCTAGTCCCTATTCGACCGAGTGCTACTATTCAGAATTAATTTATCTACCTTCATTCAGTTCACAAAATAGTCACAAAATTCAATTTAATCAATATTAACCTTAAACGCTTCTTAATTTAAATGTTCCTTATCATGTGCAAGATTATCTTCTTCCTACATTTTACAGTAATATTGGTAAATTTCAGATGCTTGGAGCAAGTTGAGGATTTAATAGAAAAATATAAAAAAGCTGATAATCCCGTTGCGGGGATTATTGTAGAGCCCATTCAATCTGAAGGTGGGGACAACGAAGCATCACCTCAGTTTTTCCAAAAACTACAAAGTTTATGCAAAACAGTAAGTTCTTTAAAAGTAAACCAAATGTCAAATGCCACGTGGTCCACGTGGATTTTTTTCAAGTAATGCTTTTCTTTAGATTTACACATCTAGCAGTTAAATGCTTAAAAAATGTCAAAGTTTAAGACAGGTAGGCTTGAATTGGAGCGCGCCCGTCTGTGGAAGTAACTGGGCTTACAGAAGATCACAGTAAAATAACACTAGTTTTTGGTGGTTTTGTGTTTCCGTTGGTGATTAAGGTTCCAGGGCTTCACGGGACCAACGGCATCCACCAATACGCTTTGGGCCCGCGTGGTGTGTCACGGCATTCTCATGTGCCCCTGCACATAAAAAAAACGATTGCCGTTAAAAATGCTAGGTACTTAATTTGATATGGTTTCAGTAAGACCTTTCAAATAATACCTATATTGAAATAATTAGAAGACTTTTTTTATTGACATTTTGACCGTCCGTATGTCACGTGTCCTTGGATCGTAAACAGAATGAGTTGCTGCAGAACTGTTTTTTTTTTCTTTTCGTTTGTAGAAAGGCGTGGCTCTGATAATTGACGAAGTCCAGACGGGCTGCGGCCCCTCAGGCAAGATGTGGTGCCACGAACACTTCGAGCTGCCCTCACCCCCTGACATAGTCACTTTCAGCAAGAAGATGCTCACCGGCGGGTTTTATACCAAAAGCGAATTCAAGTACGTACCGAATACTAGTTGAAAACATAAATTAAACATCTTAGGTACTAATACATATTATAAAAGCGAATAGTTGTATGGATTTACTAGCGGCCGCCCGCGACTTCGTACGCGTGGAGTTAGTTATTTGCACATACTTTTTGACCCCTGTTCACTGCTCGTTCCCCGTAGGTGATATCGAGAATATGAAGCCTATGTTGACCCGACTTCTTAATAATATTCGTGCCAAAATTGAAGTAAATCCATGCAGTACTTTTTGAGTTTATCCCGGAGATACATACAGACAAATAGACAAAAATTCTAAAAACTATATTTTTGGATTCTATTAAATTCTAAAAAATATTCAATGCACAGTTTTGACTTTCCTACCATTTTATTTTAAGTATAGATGTATCGATATCTGTCACCTTTTCACGCTAAAATAAATGAACGGATTTGTATGGAATTTGGAATTGATATAATTTGGGTCCCGGGAAAGGATATGGGATAGTTTTTATCCCAGAAATCATCCTTTAAGGGGGTGAATAGGATGGTGCAAGTTTGTATAGGAAACAATTTTGTCCATGCACGAAGTCGCGGGCACCGACTAGTATTCCTACCTTCCTACAATAATGTCATAAACGTGAAACGCCATAAACATTACAATTGCGTACCAATACCACAGTCCCACTCCGTTACATAGTTGAGTTCAAAACTAGCTTCTACCTGAGACTTCGTCCGCGTTATAGTTAGTAAGTTTTGAGAATCCCACAGGAATATGTCATATTTCCGGGGAAAAAAAGTTTCCAGGCTTGCTTTGTTCGCAACTTTAATTCTATTGTTACAGAAATATAATTATAACACTTATCAATTTTCTGATAAGTAAAAAAATATGTTTACTTTAAATCTTTACAGAGCACCACATTCCTACCGCATTTTCAACACATGGATGGGAGATCCAGGGAAACTTATTTTGTTGGAGCGCGTTCTTAAAGTCATCAAACAGGAAAACTTATTTTCGCTGGTACAAAAAACTGGCACCGTCTTGAAAGATGGACTACACAAATTGGAAAATGAATTTCCAAATCTGATAAATAGTGTGAGAGGCCGCGGTACATTCTTAGCTTTCAACGTGTGCAACACAGAATTGCGAGACAAAGTAAATAACAACTTGAAGAAAAACGGTGAGTTGTTTTTTTTTTGGGAATTCTCATTTTATGCTATTTTGTGTCTGTGCACTGTGCATACGTATGCGCTTTGATGTGTTTTTGTTTTTGGCGAATAAAAAGTCCTATCTAGGTACATTTTTAGGATTCAGCGTCAACAAGAAACCCTAAGAGCGTGCGCTGCGTTAAAAGCGGACGCGAGCTGAGACATTTGAGAAATATGTATTTCAAAAAATTAAACCGACCTCTAAATCGCAAATGGAACTAAAAAGTAAAAAATAATATCTGGTTCATGATTTGGAAGTCGGGCGGGTCAAGATTAAAAGACCTATTATTACCGATCAGGGCCCCAATTCTCGCGGCGTAGATATTATATCGGCTTCGAGATAATATCGAAAGTCTATTGAAAATATCTACTGATGGCAAAAAATGCTATTCTCGTGGATTTTCGATATTCCAATGATATTTTATCTATCGTAGACATTCTGTAGCTGACGAATGCGTTCCGTTTTTCTCGATTAAGTTAATATCATAGTCTATATAAAATAACAATAAATTAAAGCAGTAAACAAGCAAAAAAAAATATAGTTTATTTTTTATGAATGCCATTCATATTAAATATATACTTAAGTATACATTTTTTGAATATAAGAAATCTCAACTTTATCTAAATTGTATGTATATAAAATTTTAACGTTAAGTATAATGAAACGTCAATATTTTTTTAAGATTCACCCTTTTTAAGGAAGGCAAAGGGAACAATGCCCATACAGCCTAGTCTTTACTTATATTAATCTTCTTTTTTTTACATTACAATGTCGGTGTGACGCTCCTAATGGGTCTTGGAGTGTTTGGCACGAAATATATGGAGTTGGCTTTTTCGATAAGCTTCTGTGAGGTAGTCAACACTACAATAAAGTTCTCACGTCCACTTAACTGGAATAGCGTATATTTTAAAGATTAGGATAGAAAACTCCGAAACGTTAATAAGAAAACGTCGTTCATAACTTTATTTGTCACTATTATTTGTCACGTTAAAAATTTCTAATAAAATGTTTTGTTTAAACGTAATTTTTTTTATGAAGTCGGCGTCCCTCATTTCAAATGGGTCCTCCTGCTCTCACAACGACGGCGCCTTGGCACAGCAGCAGCAGTCGCTTCATTTATTAAGTCATTGACGTAAACATGAATCAACTTATCCATCGTTAATATATATTATTTACCTACCTCTTTATTTACTAATTATTTAAGAAAGCAGTTAACTACAACAAAAAGAGAAAAGGACATAAAAATGCACAATTAAAAAAAATAAAAAACGTATAATTATAAAAAATCCGAAATAAATCAGGCATACTCTATTACACGTAACCCAACAATCTCACGAAGTTTCATTAAAACATTCAATTTCACCCTATATAACATAAGCTACTTTTGTAAAATATATGACTGATTGTTGCCAAAATAAAAGAAAAACAACAAACACACCGAGCAGACGCCCGCTCCATGCAACGCTTTACGCAGCGCACGCTCTTATAGTTTCGCTATGATCCTCCGCAGCTCTGTGCAAGAAAGCTGTAACTTAGTACGGATATACAAATTAATGACATTGAAAAAGTGTTAAAATCATTACTTTAACATAACATACATTTTAACCACCTACGTTTTAAGTGAGGAAGTGATTTTTTTGTGTATCTTTGTCAACGGGTAAAGGTTTTAGCCCACTTACACGACTCCGCTCCCTGGCAAAAATAATATAACCAAAATATGAACTTGAAGTTCTTTAGATGATGTACTTTACATTGGCAACACAAACTAGCAGACAGCTCGCTGTCAGCGAGGTTACCGTCGTTAGACTGCTCGATAGTTGACGCCTCGCTTACCACGCGTTGCTAGCAAGCGGTCTGCGCGGTGTCAGCTTACTTAGCCCGGTGACTGCTAATAGGCTATTCTCGCATTATCTATCAAGCAATTCGCTGACAGCTAGCTATCGGCGCGTGGACTGCAAGCAGTGCAGTGCACTGCAGTCGCCTTAGTTTAGGGCGGTGTTAGCGAGGTTGTAGCAGACTCGCGCAAGTGGGCTATGACCTTTATACTCAACTTTACTGATTTAATTTACTTTTTAAAACAAACTTATAGATGTATTAACGTTAATTCTTTCAGGTGTCCTAGGTGGCGCTTGTGGCGAGACAGCTATTCGACTGCGACCGGCGCTCGTGTTCGCTCCGAAGCATGCCGAGATTTATTTAGACGCATTGCGTAAAACTCTGAAGGAGCTTTAATTGTGTTACTCAACAACATTATTTGAATAACATATATAGGTGTGTTGCTAAGACTGCCTACTTTAAATATTGTGTCATTAAATATTTGACCGCGTTTAGCTTTTGTCGATTTTTGTAAGGCGGATAGAGTTTATATCGAATTTAGAGACAACAGGGGTATCGCCACGATTCTCTCGTCTATAGAGATGGCGTCTATAATGTTTCTTGAAATTCCATTATTTTTATTGAGATTGATTTTGCATTTTTATTTTTATATATTTTTATTTCATGTAAATATGTCTGGATATCCAACCAACATTGCATTAATGTTAGTGCTAAGTGAATAGAGTTGTTGTAGTCACTTGAATGAATAATACTATTATTATAATGTCTTCCATTAATTATACGTCTTCAACTATATCTAAAGTATTTAATTTCAACTAAATTACCAATACATATTATTTTACTACATGCCTTTTTATTTTGCCAACCTAATTTCTTGACTAATTTGCGGCACTTCACTTGGCTATTCGTATTTGCTATTTCTAAACTTGACAAGAACAACTGTCATAATGACAAATAGCAGATACGAATAGTCATGTGAAGTGCCGGCATAAAGCTAATGGCGCGACTACACTTGGTTGTAAGCCCGAATACGAGTGCATGGAATTAGGACAAACGACTAAGTTTAAATAAACGGAGTCGAGTACGCCCATTTTCGTTTCAACTAGAATGCGGGTACTGAGTTGTTTAGACGTTTAGAGTTTTCAGAACCCGAAAACAGTTTAATTATTGCTTAAGGTGCCCGAATTCGAGTAATGTCTCATGCACCCGAATACGGGCTACCGACCAAATGTAATTGCTTCATCTGTTTGCAAATTATAAAAGCACGAATCAAAATTCTTTCATTATGTATCATGTAAACATAAGAATATTCAGTAAAATAAACATCACAAATACCAATGCCATTCATCATTATCGGCCTATTAATGCCCCCACTGCAGAGGCACAAGCCTTTCCTATGGATGGAATAGGGAGTGAATTACCACGCGGGCCCAGTGTGGATGGGTGGGTGCTAACGACTGCAGATGCAGTCTGAACCAACGGCTTAACGTGCCTTCCGAAGCACGTGATAAGTTTTTGGTCATGCATCCAATGACCGACCAATCCGTAACTTGCTTAACTTTCACGGTCACAAGCCGAATGCGCCAACCACCTGAGCAATCGAACTCATCTATCGTTCAAGATTTTTTAATAATATAGGTACAAATATTCGCATTACCGAGGCTTTTACCCCCACAAAACTGATTGATTACTTTTAAAAACATATTTTCCTCGAAAGACACTCACATCTGAAAAGTGAAAAACAACAAATATTTACATCTTCAAATTACGTGCTACATTAAGGCGCTTTGCAGACGACGGGGCGGGGCGGGCCCGGGCACAAAGTGAATCCTATACTTCAAACGCACACAGCGGTCAAAAAGACCGCGCCTTGGGTGCCCGGCGGGCCCGCCGTGGATCATACAAACCAGTTTATATGCAGTAACGCAGACGCAGTCATCGTAACGCCTAAGTGCTTGGCCACGGAGACGGACTAGGAGCGGTTGCGGGTGGCGGCAGCGGTTGGCTTATTAAACAAATGTATGAGAATGTATGAAGTATGCCACGACACGCGCGCGGCGGGCTAGAGCGGCTGCGGCTGGCGGCGGCGGTTCGGGACAGCGGTAGCGGGCCAGCCGGGCGGGTGGAAACAAAGCTATGGGCTAGTTTGCGCATGGCCACGGTGCACAGCGGTTTTTCGGGCGGTTGAAAACGGCTAGCGTGGGACGGATCGAGTCGAACAAAATTTTTTGGACGAATTCAAGAGCGGCAGCATTTTACTATGGACACTGAAGCTTTTATCACACAAATATTATACCGACCACCTATATGGATGTCAAAGCATCCATAACACAAGTACAAAAATGTAATAAAAAGACTATGCGAAAACTTCAAACAGCTTTTTCCAGATCAGAACCGTAAGTTTTATTGTTCAAACAGTATTTTTGTCTGAAGTCTTTTGCTGCACCAGTAATTTAGTTGTATTATATTTTATTTTAGTAATGGTCAACAACAGTCTACACGTGAAATCCCAATTTGTAAACAAACAAAAAAAAGAATTTCTTAGAAAGTTTGGTTTGCATGATGCAAACAGTCGAGTTTATTACGGACTAGGATAATAAAGCGACAAAAGAACGTACACAGCTGCGCGATTGTCACTAATTTTGGCAATTTAAAAGGTACTTTTTATTACCTAATTGTTGTCATTATTGAAAGTGGGTGAATGCTATATGGAGTGTATCATTGTATGGAAAACAAACTAAACCAACCAAAGACGAGTGATTTCGATTAGGGAGTTTGTCGTTAAATCGAGTGATGTTACATGGAGTTTACACTGTACTTACATATTTTATTAAGACAATACATGTAAATAAATTTATATATGATTGTTATAATAACATTTCTAATAATTACATGATTATTTAATTAGTTTCATTTACACTTAAGTACCGTAAGGTGAGAAAAACCTTTTCAGGATTGATCACTACTCTTTTGGATTTTACGTTGCGTTTCAAATGAACTTCAATATGTTGAAGTATATAATCAAAAGTTCCAATACTCATTCTAGTGTACTCATAAAATTTGTCCGGATACTTCCTATAATCTGCATAAAGATTCAAAAATTCGCCACTTTTATGAAGACCTTTATTTAATTCATGCACTCCGTCTCTTGAATTTAAAATGTCGTTCATAAAATACGAACTGCTATTAAGGCAACTACGCATCACTTTAGTTAGAGCCATCCTCAATACGTCCACTTTAGTCAGCCGCTATAGCCGCTACTGAATGTACGTGGCATGCCACCCGCACCCGCAGAAGTCACCCGCACCCGCGCTTAGCCTAGCCCGTCTACGTGGCTAAGCCGTAAGGCGTTGAGCAGACGACGGGGCGGGGCGGGCATTTTGTCCGCGAAGCAATAAAGACCGCGTCTGCCCGTCGATGTCTGCGGCTGCCCGCGCCGCGTACACAAAGCACACGACGGGCAGAGGCGGTCAGTTTAGGACGTTCGTTCTAGTGAATAGTCCATGACCGCCCCGCGCCGCCGTCTGCGTTACTGCATATAAACTGGTTTGTATGATCCACGGCGGGCAGCGGCGGATATGCCGCGCGGCCAGTGCCCGCTGGGCACCCAAGGCGCGGTCTTTTTGACCGCTGTGTGCGTTTGAAGTATAGGATTCACTTTGTGCTATTATTCGCGGCGAAATTGACCGGCCCGCCCCGCCCCGTCGTCTGCAAACCGCCTAAGCGTCAAAAACGTCAATGCAGACTATGAAAACCCAAGGTTTTAATGAGCAGTAATACTTGTTTAGTAGGTTGTACAGTCATGAATTTCGAAAGGAACCTGAGAATACAAACTTAATTCGACACAATAACAACGCTTATGTATACATATTTCAATACAATATTACTTATAAGTTCATCGTGACATCACTATTTTTGAAGTGAAACTTCTTTATCGGCGTTGGAAAAAAATGGGTGCGTGTACTTATGTAGGCGCGTGAGAAGTCATCCTTCTTTGGCATCGTTTAAAATTAGTTTTGAATTGCATGCAAATAATTAATTACAATAAATTAATAAAAAGTCTGGAAAAGGACACAGTCAATAAAGTTCAGTTTTAATTTGAAAAAATAAATAAATAATCAAAATATTCAATTAAAATCGCTACTGAATATAATTTATTAGAACATATGTGATTTGCACTTGTATGAAACTCAAACACGTATTCCGAATATACAAACTAGAAACATGTGGATAAATATTATAAATATGAATACCTATAACTGTTACTTTATTACAATAATAACATAAAAGCATGGAGCACCCCCACTAGAGTCCGCATACAAGGGCAAGCGCTTACGCCAAGCTTAAGTAGTATATTACGTATGCGTGAGACACGCCCACAGACGTCGCTATACATCGTTTTATTCCGAAGCCGAGCGTTAGCAGAAGTGCTTCTCTCGTTTTTGCGTTAAAAAACTAGAAAAAATGCCGTACTGTGCAATTAAATTATGTGGAAAGTGGAGTAAAACTTCCAGTCTTCAAAAAGATGGTATTACTTTTCACCGGTAAGTTTAAATGCATTACAAAAAGACAAAAATACTCTTATATGAAATTGCTTTTAATTGTATTTATTTTTTGGTGAACGCGTTGATGTCTTTTAACACTATCCCTTTCTCGCATGCGCTACATCATATATGCTATTCCGCTCTCACACCGGCACGTGTATTGCTAGTGACTTGACGCAGCTCATGTCTGTACCCGTAAGTTTATCGATAAGTTTGTCAGCTACGGAAATAGAAAAAATAAATAAAAACTATTTATTTCGTCGTATACAATAACAGATATCATGAGTATACAACCAACAGTTTTTAATCATACCGTACTAAAATTTTAAACCCGAAAATTTGTATGGATGTTTGTTACTATTACACGATTAAACCGATTTGTATGAAATTAAGTGCGCATACTTTATGACCTAGATAAAGACATGGAATTAACGATATTAAATACCCTAGATAGACCACGAGCGCTCAAAATGTGTCCCAATCAAGAAGTGCTTAAACTTTATTCAAGCACTTCTTGGTTTACAGTCACGCGCGGACCGATGAAAAGTCAAAATGCCGCAGAGCTCCGTAAAAATGCGAAAAAAATACTAATAGTACGTAAAGTGTTGTTTTTTCGATAGGTATCTAATTAATGTTTTTATAATTTGGTACATAGTCATCTTTATGTAATACAATAAGTTATTTATATAATTTGAGCCAAATAAACGTTTTTATTATTATTATAAATTTAACGCATTTGAAGCAAATTTTATTGTAATACTTACTATAAACTGATTTAATATAACATATTTGTGATACTCAAAAGCATGGTCGGTTATACGTCGCCCTATAGCCGTCTTTTTTCTTCGCGGTCTGTACCTGCTATAATAGCTAACAGCACATTCAGAATTGAGCGCGAAAAGTTAAAAAAAATAAGGTTCCATTTTCTTTCGCATATAACAATAAGTCGTAAAATTTTAGGAACTTGCATTTTGAACTGCCATAAATCTTTGATGCATGCGTTTTAATTAAGAGCTTATGCCGTATGCATTAAAGGTGACTTTTTTTTAAATAATGCATTACATTGTTTTTGACCACGCGATCATCTTACGGACCTCTGTGAATCGTCAAATATACCTTTTGGTCACGTTTCGGCCACGATTTTGTACATGTTGTCGTATCTAGGGTATAAAATATCAGGTTTCTTTAGGATTTTCAAAAAACTA